AAGAGCAACGACGACGCGTACTAGAAGAAATTCTAGATTGATGCACGTACAGAAGACGGTGTTGGTGGAGTTCATTGCGACCTGGTTCCTGGCGGCGTCTCTGATGGTGGAGACGTAGGAGGGCGTGGTGCAGTTGCCATGGTGGCCTGGTCGCTGCCCATGATGTCGACCTGCTGCCACACGCCAACGCAGGAGTAGGTCATCCCGAGGTCGATGCCAATCGGCGGACCAACGCCCTTGGTCATCTCCTCCTCTGCTCTCTTTTGGGTTCGCTGGAAGACGGGAGCAGCGCTCAATCTCGTGCGAGCTCTCCTGTTGAACTCAAAACCGCACGCCCGCCGTAGGCCGCGCCTGGGTTCGGTGGATCCCAGTTGGGCGCCGGTGCTGGCTGACGGAGTCACGCCCCAGTGAGGCCGCGTCACACCTCACGCCCTCCTCTGGCCGGAGCAGTCGCCCGCGCCTTGCTCTGCTGCCTACTGTCGACGGAGAAGGTGGGGAGGAACAAGGCTCGGGATCCCGGCGCATCTCGATAGATCCGGCCGCTGGCTCGGCGGATCCAGCAGGGGCGGTGGGGCGCCGTCCTTTTCGCGACCAGATCTGCTGAGCATGGATTAGCACCGGAAGGGAGCGGAGTTGGGCGTGGCGGTGCTACTCTCGATGCAGCCTCCGGAAGCCTCGATCTGAAGATGAATCGGGGGAGGTGGGACGGCAGAGATCACGGGAGGTGAGATAGAAGACAGAGCACAGGGGAGGGAGGGGCTTCGTTCCTCTCGATGGAAGAGCAGCCGGCGGCGGCTCGGGTTGGAGGAAGAAAGGGGAGAGAGAGAGAGAGGTGACTGTGCCTACCGTTGGATCCGGGGGCGATGGACGGTGGTTATACACGATCCGTGGGAGGGTGGTATGAACCAATCAGAAAGCAGCTTGGACGCCATATAGGATACAACACATCAGCAGGAGCCATCCGTGACGGTCTGAATAGTTTATATAAGAAAAAGTTTAGACCTGGCTAGGCCCAGCTGGCCAATCTGTGACAGTTTCTAGGAACGTCAACAGAAATCCGTCATGGATTAACAGGTTTCTTGTAGTGGAAGCTGTGGGAGCTCCCTGAATCGAGCAGCAGCAGCATGGCCTGGTTGCCCACCAGGGCGCGCAGGCGGATGGTGGTCGCCGAGTCGGTGCCGTCCAGAGCGTGCGACGAGAGGAGGCAGCACTCTGGTGCGGCAACGGCAGGATCGGCCGGCGGTGCTACCGGTCCTGGGTCGTCCAGGAGTTGCAGGGCGTGGATGGTGTCGTCCGAGAGCACCTCTCCGTGGTCGCCAATGCTGATCGTGAGCAGCTGCGCGGGCTGAGCGCACCGGTGCTCGCGCGAATAACGGTCGCCGCACTTGAAGCACAAGTTGTTGGCGCGGCGATAGTCGCGCAGCTGCCGCTCGCGCGCGTAGTTGTCTGCAGGCGCGCGGTTGGGCGCGACCGCGCGCGGCTGGAGGGGCGTCGTCGCTAGAGGAGGCCGTCCCGCGGGTGTGATGCGTGGGCGTGCGCGGGTCGTACCCAGTTCCTCTTCTTGAATGCGTGCCAACACCGACGCCCTGGTGATGCTCGAGGGCGCCTGCAGGCAAACGGGTGCACGCAGTTCGTCCTTCAGGCCCAAAATGAACTGAGTGACGAAGAATTTGGTGTTGATGGACGGGTCGAGAGCGAGCAAATGATACATCTGCTCGTCAAATGCCGCGCGGTATTCGGCGACGGTGGCGGTCTGTCGGAGCTGGAGCAGCTTGTGCATGACGACCTCGAACTCATCGGCGCCGAACTCCTCCAGCACGGCTGCTGTAAACGACTCCCAGGTGAGGCCGCGGCGTGTTTGACGAAATGCTTGCAGCCAGTGCGCAACCTGGCCTCCGATGTACAAGGCCGCCGTGGTAACCCACTTGTGGGGCTCCACCTTGTAGAGCTCGAAGTACGCCAGGCAGCGATCCAGCCATAGGTACGGGGCGGCGCCGTCGAATCGCGGAAAATCGTGCTTCGGTGTCTTGTGCTAGTCGTTGCCGTGGTAGCCCGATGTCGGAGACGGCATGGCTGCGGAAGCGACGAATCCACCCTGCGGTGCCACTGGAATCAACGGGGGGCGATGATCCCCCAGGCGTGGATGAGCGGCCGCCGCGCGGCCTGGTTCGGCGGTCATGCGCGGCGACTGTGGCGGCAGCGGGGACGGTGGTGGTTGCTGGGTAGCGGCGGGCTGGTGAAGCACGGTGGTGACCGATCCTGGCGGTGATGCCGAGCCCTCCATCGTCTTGCGGGTGGCGTCGACGTCCGCCTGAGTGAGATCGATCTACCGGGCGAGGCCCCGAACGTCCTGCGAGATCTGCGCGTTGAAGGCGGCCTGAACCTCGATCTGCTTGTCGTGGATCGCCTTCTGCTCGTCCATCTTGGTGATGAGGGACTCGAGCATCTTGGTAATGTTGCTCGTGCTCTCGTCCATGGCCGCCAACACCTGGCGCGTGGCCGCCGACGCTTTGGAGGGCGCCGTCGCCTTGCTCGGAGGAGATCGAACCCCGCGACGGATTTTGGGTGTGCTAGCCGGAGCCGCACACACCGGCGCGGTGGATGTTACCGATCTGCAACCAGCGCGGCGGGGAGAAAAATTTTGGGCAAAATTGGCTCTGATTACCAACTGTAACGAACGAAGGAGAAGGGGGTCGGAGGGAGGATGAGGAACTCGCGCGAGAGAGGGAGAGAAACTTGGTGAGGAAGAAGAACTTTCCTTGCAGAGGAAGAATTAGAGAGAGAGTTTGAATTGGTCTACATCCATGCCCCAGCCAGCCATAGGTGGCCAGCTAAATACTCACGCAACGCACACACACAACCTCTCGACCGGTCCCACCCGCAGGATGCCAAGTCACACATGCCAAGTGACCAGGTATGACAATATCCAAGCAAGGAAATTAAACACTGTATCTTGCAGGCTGGATGATTTTGTTGATGGAACTTTATGTACACTTGCCGTGTCTTTTATCACGTATGCTTGTGACTTAAAAAAAACATGCATGTCTCTTTAATAGATTTGTGAATCTCCCAAAACCTATGTGGACGGTTTTATTTTTATGAAACTTATATTTACATAGGGATCATGCTGTTTTGCACACGGTGTGAAGAAAAGTCACACTACGGTGGTACAGCCCCACCCTCCTCCTGTTTGCCGCCATGTAAATCTCATCTTACGCCAAAGGTCAAGAAGGATATAAGAAAACGTATAATCCTAGTGACCACATCCATTTGATTCGATTCCCCTATCTACGCTGACATATAATTCTATCCGTAAAAATAAGAAGATGACATATAATTCATTAAAAATGTTGAAAACGATGCAAGTTTTGTGCATTTAAGTGAACAACATTTTGCCTTGCATTAAGAAATCTGCATGCGCTTCAAGTGGCCCTCCACAGTCATTTTAGCGGTACTTACGCTGTCAATTATTAAGTGTCCCTACGATTGTACGACTACTGTTGTTCAAAAGGATGACACATCTGACAACCATTATCAATGTATTCAAATGCCTACCAAAGCAAGATTATTACAAAATACTTCATGTGTTATTAATATATGCACGGCTATGAAGGCCTTCTTTTACAAAACCGGGGACATCACAATCTGGTCCAACATTATGCACAACAATAATTCATAGGATATTTCAACATGCCGCCATCATGTCTACAGAAAGGAACACATAGCGACTACTGCCTCCGTCCTATAATATAAGAACGTTTTGTACACTACACCAGTGTACAGAACACTCTTATATTATGAGACGAAGAGAGTATATTGTAATTAATCAATTGTAATCTATATCATATAGATTAATCTGATATAGTGCCTTGTATAAGAAAATGTATAATTCTAGTGACCACATCCATTTGATTTGGTTCCTCTATCTATATTGACATATTATTCTATCCGCAAAAAAGAGAGGATGACATATAATAATTCATTGAAAATTGTTGAAACCGACCCAAGTTTTGTGGATTTAAGTGAACAGTATTGTGCCTTGTAGCATTAGAAATTTGCATGGACTCCAACGGCCCTTTATAGTCATTTTGGCGGTGCTTACCGCCGTTAACTATTACGCGTGGCTACGATGGTACGACTGCTCTTGTTCAATAGGATGACGCGTCCGACAACCAATATCAACGTATTCAAATACCTACCAAAGCCCAATTATTACAAAATACTCCATGTGTTATTAATATATCCACGACAATGAAGACCTCCTTTTACAAGACCGAAGGCATCGCATTCTGGTCCAACATTATGCGCAACAATAATTCGTAGGATATTTCAACACACCATCATCATGTCTACAGAAAGGAACACATAGCGACTATATTGCAACTAATTAATTAATTAATTGTAATCTATCCCATAATATAAGAGGGTAGTATATCAGATAGATTTATGTGAATCACCATGTAGCAGCAGCAGCAGCCCCTGTTTGAATGAAGAGACCAAACAGAACCAAACCCATGGGTTTGGTCAATGGCAGAGAAAGGAAAGGCAAGGAAGCGGCCAAAGAAAAGAGGAGGAGACGGGAAAAGCAGGCGACGGCGGCCAAAGAGGAAAGGAGGCCGCCCGCCCGCAAGCAAGAAATTGTCGATTGCCCGCCCCCTCCCTCCTATTAAAGCGGCGCAACCGAAGCGAGAGAGAAGAGAGGGAGAGGGGCACACGCCGAGAGTCCACACGTAATCCCATCCCCTCCATCCATTCCCGCTTTTACCCCCCTGTACTTGCCGCATTTCGCAGGCCAGGACTACTGGACCAGGGGAGTCCTACCGGCTACGGCGCCGAATTATTGCCCGTTTCGAGGCCTCGACCGCCAAAAGGGCCGTGCAGAGCTGCTACGCCCACACGCACAGCCGCCGTGCCAACGCGTGCGCTCCGCTCCCCCTTCGCCTCGCCGCGTCGGGCAGGTGAGGTGGGGGACAGGGGCTGGGTAGCGGCTCTCTTGCCCGATGAGGCCGCCGGAAGTGGTGTTCGTCGCGGCCTTGGTGGCGGTGGCGGCGGCGGCGCTGCTGGGCGGGGCGGCGGCGGCGTTCCCGGCGGCGCTGACGCTGGAGCGCGCGCTGCCGCACAGCGGGGTGCCCGCGGAGCACCTCAGGGAGCGGGACAGGGCGCGGCACAAAGGGAGGGGGCTGCTCGGGGGCGGGCCCGCGGTCGCCGGCGTCGTCGACTTCCCCGTCGAAGGCTCCGCCAACCCCTACATGGTCGGGTGGGTGAGCCGCTTCCCTTTTTCTTCCTTTTTTTTTTCCTCTCCTGCTTTGGTTTGGTTTCGTCTGGCTTGGTTCGGTTCGGGTGGGTCGGTTGTGTGCGTGATCGATGCAAGCGTTGAGAATTCGAGCCTGTTTTGTGTTCTGGGCGTTGAGCTGAAATTGTCTCCTTGCTTGGTGGATTCGACGATTGTGGCACATGAAATTTCTTTTGGGTAATTGACAGTTACATCCCTTCTGCTTACTCAGCTGTAGTCATAACCATTGAAATACTACTGTAATTGATAGTAGTTTGATGGCCGTACTCAGTGAGTTTGTTTGTGGGTGGATATTGCGTGCATTCTGCAAACTTTATACTTAATTTTTACAAACTTCCGGCGATGTTTGCTCAGGAACACAGGCCGTTTGTTTGGCAGCTGAACTGTTGCTTGGAATAACCCGGGCTTGTTTTTTTTCTTTTTTCTTTTTATTTCTTAGGTTCGTTTGATTCATCGTTTTAATGTGATTATTCTGACAATATCACCAAGTCTTTGTGCACTTCATTGTTCTACCTGTTTGATTGTGGGAGTCCAATTCTGACGCGTTTGCCTGTACCAATCACCACAATAATTCATTGCCTGTAAGTTGAGAGAAAAACAGCTCATTTTCCTATGCTTTGCTTCTCTTGGATCCTACGTCTCCACACATTTTTCTGCCCATCACAGTTTCTTCAATTTTCTTAGGTTGCTTTTGCTTCAAGGTCAATTCCTTACGTTGAAGATGCAGTTTTGGATTTCTCCCTCTGATGTACCTTATGTTTGCACATTAATTTTGTTATTCCGTAAGGTGTAGCCGTGCAGAGATATACATTTCGTTACACGGTTTAGAGCCAGTACATGCAGAGGCTTTACTAGCACCATATACGATAGATAATGGATGGATTGGCACCCGTTTTTACTTGCCATGTGCTAGTCTTTAGTGAAACAGTTCTGTTTTCGCCAATGCTATAGGACTTATGTTTTAGTTGCATAGACCCTTGTCACATATCAGTTGTGATTGATAATACTCCCTTTAGACTGTTGAATATCATGTGTTTAATCCATCACCCTTTTTTGTTTTAGTTTTTACTAATCCTTTTGTCCCAAACAAGTTGGGGTAGGTTAGATATGAAACCCTTTCACGAGGACTTCCCAGGACTTCCCAGGAGGTCACCCATCCTAGTACTATTCTCGCCCAAATGGGTTTCATACCCAAAGGACTGGCTAGTTTTTACATTGGCTCGCCAAGCCTATCACAACCCTTAGATATGAAACCCTTTGACAAGGACTTCCCAGGAGGTCACCCATCCTAGTACTACTCTCGCTCAAATGGGTTTCATACCCATGGGACTGGCTAGTTTTTACGTTGGCTCGCCAAGCCTATCACAACCCTCCTCCTTTACCTGGGCTTGGGACCGGCTATGCCTAGAAGACATAGGCGGAGTTTAATCCATCACCCTCATGTAGCAATATTCTGTTTTAGGACGCAGAAGTCAGCTATGCACTCTGTTTCTTTTGGCCGATTCTCAAATTGGTTAGGATGCAAAAGTCAGTTTGTTCCTCAATGTTACTACTGATTTGTGATTAATTGACCTCCTTTTAGGCATTATCATCTCATCAACTCATTCATTTTCATTCTGCAACTGGGCTTGCTGTTTGTTGGTAGTACATGGGCTTCATGCCAACCTATACCGTAATAGGCACTCTTTTGTAAGTATAATCGTATGCTAAAGTTCTATTTTACAGGCTCTATTTTACACGTGTAAAATTGGGAAACCCTGCGAAGGAATACTTTGTCCAAATTGACACTGGCAGTGATATCTTGTGGGTTGCTTGCAGCCCTTGCACAGGTTGCCCAACATCAAGTGGGCTCAATGTGAGTCAATCATTATCCAATGGCTTGTGTTTGTTGGAATATTTTTCTCCCTTGAGATGGGACTACTTGTTATCTAAGCTCATTCTGATGGATTACTGCTTTTTGGTTTGCTTTTCAGATCCAATTGGAATTCTTCAACCCTGATTCTTCATCAACATCATCCAGGATACCATGCTCAGATGATAGGTGTACAGCTGCTCTCCAGACAGGGGAAGCACTCTGCCAACCCTCAGACTCCCCAAGCAGCCCATGCGGTTACACTTTCACGTATGGTGATGGAAGTGGCACGTCAGGATACTATGTGTCCGACACTATGTATTTCGACACTGTCATGGGGAATGAGCAAACTGCCAATTCTTCTGCCTCCGTCGTTTTCGGGTACAGTTCCCTAGACTCCTATACTTTTTGAATCCCCTATTGGATAATGAAAACTTACCATTTACAATTGATGATCATTTACTTAAGATACATGATAACATTAGAAACATGGCTAGAGTGGTGCAACAACTGTGCCAGGCAAGAGCATTGACATGATGTGGGTTATTGTCTCCTTGATAATGTGAACCATTTACATGTTGCTGCTTTGTGGCACAGGTGTGGATAAAATTTGTTCACTTTGTTGATCTGGTTAGCGAAGGGTTGGCCTTGCGCAGTGGTGAAGTACTCTCCACTTGTGCCGAGAGGTCCTGGGTTCGATGCGGCCTCTCTGCATTGCACTGTGTAGGGGTAAAGCTTGCCTCGTGTAATCCTTCCCCAGACCCCACCTGGTGTGGGAGCTTCTAGCACTGGGTCTGTCCTTTTCCTTGATCTGGTTAGCATGGTTGATGGGTCTAATGACAACAAAATGCATGTCCTGCAACTAGCAGGGTTCTAGTACCTACTGCAAGAATAGTTCTTTTCATTGCTCTGATATCCAGAGAACAGTTATTACTAGGAAAAAGTCAATTTCCATTATGGTCACCATGAACAAATGTTAAAATGGTTATACTGTCTTCTTTCTCATTCTCTTGCCAAAATATGTTGGCATATGACTAGTACCTGGACATCTTTGAATGTCGATTGACAGGCTATCCCCTAACATGTATCTAAACACTACAAAGTCTCAGCCTCGGAATGGTTTGTCACTTTTTCTTAGTGATACTATTCTACATTAGGTCACCTTGATATTGAAACTTGCTGCTTAACAGGGTCAATATTATTTTCGTTGTTGTAACTATCTTTTTTTTTAATAGATGTAGCAACTCACAGTCAGGTGACCTGATGAAGGCAGATAGGGCAGTTGATGGAATTTTTGGGTTTGGACAGCATGAACTGTCTGTCATTTCACAACTGTACTCTCTTGGTGTATCCCCTAAAACATTCTCCCATTGCCTGAAAGGTTCAGATAATGGTGGTGGTATTCTTGTCCTTGGTGAAATCGTCGAACCAGGATTAGTATTTACTCCACTTGTTCCATCACAGTAAGTTCCTTTTCCTGAAATTATTGAGTGTGTAACTTACGAATTCTGCATGTTCTTACCCGTGTTGTTGTAACTGGTAGGTATGGGTGGAAAGCAACAGTTTCCATCATTCGTTTTCTTGTTTTTGTTTTCTTCTGAAGTACTTGTTAGGTGAATTTATTTGGACATCTTTAATATTCCAACATTAAGTATGCCCTTGTGAGAGGCTAACTATATAGCTAGATTTTTTTTCTTGCAAAGTACGTATAACATTTCTAGTGGCAATAAACTATGAAACATTTTGATTCTAAGCTATTTTTGTATTTTTAATGAAATGTAGGCCTCATTATAACTTGATTCTGGAAAGCATTGCTGTTAGTGGTCAAAAGCTACCCATTGATTCTTCCTTGTTTGCAACATCAAACACACAAGGAACAATTGTGGATTCAGGAACGACATTAGTATACCTTGTCGATGGTGCTTATGATCCATTTATTAGCGCGGTAAACTCCAAATGACACATGTCATCATTTATTTTATGGAACAACAAATATGTAACTAGTTTGCATTACTTAAATATACCATCATTAGTTCTCTTGATCGATGCCTGCAGATAGCTGCCGCAGTCTCTCCATCTGTACGCTCTGTTGTCAGCAAGGGGACACAATGTTTTGTTACGAGCGGCAGGTTTTCCTCTTTCTCTGTGTAAGGAAATTAGCAGCGCATGTCTTTCAGAATGTTGAATTACTCACAAATGTTCTTTTGCTTCTCTGCTAGTGTTGATTCGTCATTTCCTACGGCAACACTGTATTTTAAAGGTGGAGTTGCAATGACAGTGAAGCCAGAGAACTATCTTTTGCAGCAGGCTACCAGTGTATGTGAACAAGCCTTTTGATGCCATCGTTGCTAAATTTCTTTGCAATTGTGTGTCTAGATAACTGTTTATGGGCGCACTTGCCTCAGATGAAATAATGACATATTATGCTTTGTAGGATAATAATGTATTGTGGTGCATTGGCTGGCAAAGGAGCCAGGGAATCACTATACTTGGAGGTTAGTCATGTTGACTGTATTAGCCATTATAAGTTGCGTATATAGCTGTTATACTTTAAGGCAGCTATTCTGTTATGGATATCTGAATTAAGTTAAGTTGTTGACAGAAATTTCAATAGTGGTGCCAAATATGAACATAACTATGCCAGATAGATCTATCCAGGCTTTAGGAAAATGATCGTGCCTTGTGACTCATGCCGTTTGATTTAACCCCCTAATACTGAACCAACAGGAAAACTGACTATTTACCTCATGCAAACATTGACTGACTAGTAATCCCTAAGTACTAGCTTGACAGCAGCTATTAACCGAGTATAGTCAGTGTGAATGGCCCCAGGAATGATGCGATGCCCATCTCCCACTCCTGGTGTTTTCTTGCTAACTATTTGGCCCCCTTTGTTGCAGATCTTGTTTTGAAGGATAAGATATTCGTGTATGACTTGGGAAACATGCGCATGGGCTGGGCGGACTACGACTGTAAGCTCAAAATTCCTCCTCTGTACCGTGGCTTCGGCAACCAGTTCTAGTTCACGCCCAGGCTGATTGGCTTAGCTAACGATGTCTTCCTTTTCTTCTGTCAGGTTCGTTGTCGGTCAACGTCACCTCCTCATCGGGGAAGAACCAGTACGTGAACACGGGGCAGTTTGACGTGAACGGATCGCCGCGGCACTACAGCGGTCTGGTGCCTACCGTTGTCGCCGTCGCCCTTGTGCATATGCTCATTTTTGGCGCCCTATTTAGTAGATAGCACACTGGCTGACTGACCTAACATTGTGATTCCACCACACCCATTCTTTACTTAGCGAACGGGGCCTATGCCGTTGTCGCTGCGCCCCTTCCTTCCCATGGCACGAGCATTCTTGCTGTACATAAATTACAGGGAGAAAGAGAAGAAGAAAAAAAGTAAAAAATGGTTTATCGTTCATGGTAGTGGCGTGCTCAGAACGTGTTTCGACCTGATTACTTGAGAGGCGTTCTTCTATTTATTCATGGGATCCCTTATTCATGTACCTGAATCGTGCTGCCGCTGCCTCCAAATCTGAAGGAAAACAGAGGAGGATATTATGGCCGCCATGGCGGGACAACCTGCACACATTGATCTAGAACATCATTGCCATTTCATATGTGACGGTGATTCATGAAGAGTGTGTTTGGTAGGCTGCATTTCCCCAGTGAGGCCCTAGGGAGTCAAAGTTCTTTGACCGCACGGCTCTGGCAACAGATAGGGTTCGCAATTGTTGTGTTCTACTCACCTCCTTAGTCTCCTTCATCTAATTCCTTCTAATCTACTCCCTATGTAAACTAATATAAGAGCGTAAACTAATATAAGAGCACTTAGATCACTACTTTAGTATTCTAAATGTTTTTATATTAGTTTACGGAGGGAGTACATAATGATGTTGCGATTTAATATAAGAGCATTTCCAGCCGTTCGGCCCCCCAGGGTGCCGAAAAAGAGCGGCCTGGGGGGTGAGCCGGCGGTATACTCGGCGCTGGGGCAGTTGGGCACCCAGCTGTCGCCCCCAGGCGCCGATTCCGGCCCAGTTTTTGGCCCAGTTGTGTCAAAAAAAGGCCCGATATCCGCGTGAATCGGCCCATATTCGGTGCGGTTCAGCGTGTTTCGGCGTGAATTTTTACATATAAATAGAAATCAATTAGTTCGTCACATAGTTCGGCGTGTTTCATCACATAAATCAAATAATTCAACAAATAGTTTAATATAAATTATATAATTTAACAAATAAAAACTTAAATTTCATCACACGTCATTCCCGCGTCGCCCCGGCCTCGCCCTTGAGCCTCCATAGGTGCTCCACTAGATCGTGTTGCAGTTCTTGATGCATCTGTGGGTCTCGGATCTTCTGACGCATATTGAGGTAGTCAGTCCAGGTTACCGGTAGCCGGTGATCAATTTGGGCAAGAGGACCCTGCCTGTAATATGGTTCAGTGTCAAACACTGGCTCTTCCTGCTCGCTCTCAATGATCATGGTGTGCAAGATGACACAACAAGTCATGATCTCCCATATTTGATCTTTCAACCAGGTCTGAGCATGGTACCAGACAACAGCAAATCAAGATTGGAGCACACCAAATGCCCTCTCGACATCCTTCCTGCAAGCCTCCTGAACCTTCGCAAACCAGGCGTTCTTGCCTCCTGGCACGGGGTTTGAGATGGTCTTCACAAATGTCGACCATCTCGGATAGATGCCATCAGCTAGATAGTACCTCCTGTTGTACTGCCGCCCATTGACCTCGAAGTTCACCGAAGGAGAATGACCTTCAACAAGCTTGGCAAAGACAGGGGAGCACTGCAGGACATTGATGTCATTGTGAGTTCCTGGCATCCCAAAGAAAGAGCGCCAAATCCAGAGGTCCTGTGTGGCCACTGCCTCAAGTACCACACTGCATCTGCCTTTGTACAACCCCTGCTAAGAAAATGGACGGCTCTTCCATTTCCAATGCATGCAGTCGATGCTTCCTAGCATCCCAGGAAATCCTCTTGCTACGTTCTGTGCTAGGATCCGAGCAGTGTCTTCCGCATTGGGTGTTCGCAAGTATTGCGGTCCAAACACTACCACCACTGCCCTGCAGAACTTGTAGAAACACTCAATGGTGGTGGACTCGGCCATGCGCCCATAGTCGTCGAGTGAATCACAGGGAGCTCCGTATGCAAGCATCTCATAGTTGTCGTGCACTTCTGGATTGAGGTGAATCCAAGTGTGCCGGTGCAATCCATCTTGCACTTGAAGTAGCTGTCGAACTCCCGGATGGAATTCACAATCCCGAGGAAAACCTTTCGGCTCATCCGGTAACGGCGCTGAAATGTTTTCTCACCGTGCAATGGAGCGTCGGCGAAGTAGTCCGAGTAGAGCATGCAGTAGCCTTCCAGACGATGTCGGTTCTTTGCTTTCACCCGCCCAGGCACCGAGCCACCTCGCCGCGGCTTTTCACTGCTCACGAGTAGGCCGGAGAGGGCGGCGAGCACCATGAGATGCTCCTGCTCCTGGATGTCGGCTTCAGCTTCCTCCTCCAACAACGTTGTGAGTGCCGCCTCATCTTCGGAGTCCATCGCTGGTCCGGGCAAATCACCAAACACCTTGCGGGCGAGGTGGGCGCACCCCCGCCGGTGTACATGCCCTAGGCGCGGATGGAACGCTGAATAAGTTGCCCGGACGACGGCGAAGGGGCTGCCTCGGCGAAACCTCTTCTTTTTCCCGGCGGGAAATGACCTATCTAGCTGTGGTGGGCAGTGGAAGGCGCTGGGATCGGCAAGGTGGCGGTCGCGCGCGGGGGGTGGGGGGGGGGTCGGAAGCGAATCTGGGCGGGTGTCTTGACTTTTCTCCTGACAATGTGGCCCCAGGAGCGCTTTTCCCTTGCGCCGGAGCCCCCGAGCGCCCCCAAGTGCGCCGGGTTCAGCCTGCGATCGTCGGCGCAAAAACGGGCTGAGCCGGCGGAATTCGGCATCTTGGGGCCGCGACTGGGGCGTTTTTTCGGCGCCGGCGCGGAAAAAATGCCTGGGGAGGCCCTCTTGGGGGCGCGGCTGGAGATGCTCTAAGCTCTACATGAAAAAGATGCACGTCAAGCGATCGGTTCCTAGTTTAATATATTGTAAATCCTATTGGGGAACGTACCAATAATTCAAAATTTTCCTACGTATCACCAAGATCAATCTAGGAGATTCTAGCAACAAGAGAGAGAGGGAGTGCATCTTCATACATTTGAAGATCGCTAAGCGGAAGCGTTATAAGAACACGGATGATGGAGTCGTACTCGCGGCGATTCAAATCGCGAAAGATCCGATCTAGCGTCGAACAGATGACGCCTCCACATTCAACAAGCGTATAGCCCGGGGACGTCTCCTCCTCCTTGATCCAGCAAGGGGAGAGTAGAAGTTGAGGGAGAGCTTCGGCAGCACGACGGCATGGTGGTGGAGCTTGTGGTATTTCCGCAGGGCTTCGCCAAGCTGTACGGAGGAGGAGGAGGTGTTGGGGAGGGAGGGGTTGCGCCAGGGGAAGGGGTGCGGCAGCCCTCCCCCCACTATTTATAGGGGAAGGGGAGATTGGGCGGCCCCCTTATATCTCATCTAAGGCGAGGCGCCGGCCAAGGGGGGAGCTTGCCCCCCAAGTTTGGTGGGAGGCACCCCCACCCCCTAGGGTTTTCAACCCTAGGCGCCTTAGGCCTTTGGGGGGGGGGGCGCACCAGCCCACCAGGGGCTGGTTCCCACCCTTTGTTCAGCCCACTAAGTCCCCCGGGGCAGGTGGCCCCACCCGGTGGACCCCCGGACACCTTTCGGTGGTCCCGGTACAATACCGATAACCCCTAAAACTATTCCGGTGACTGGAACTGGACTTCCCATATATGAATCTTTTACCTCCGGACCATTCCGGAACTCCTCGTGACATCCGGGATCTCATCCGGGACTCCGAACAACCTTTGGTAACCACATACTATTTCCCATAACAACTCTAGCACCGAACCTTAAGTGTCTAGACCCTACGGATTCGGGAACCATGCAGACATGACCGAGACATCTCTCCGGCCAATAACCAACAGCGGGATCTGGATACCCATGTTGACTCCCACATGTTCCATGATGATCTCATCGGATGAACCACAATGTCGGGGATTCAACCAATCCCGTATACAATTCCCTTTGTCAACCGGTATGTTACTTGCCCGAGATTCGATCGTCGGTATCCCAATACCTTGTTCAATCTTGTTACCGGCAAGTCCCTTTACTCGTTCCGTAATGCATGATCTCGTGACTAACTCCTTAGTCACATTGAGCTCATTATGATGATGCATTACCGAGTGGGCCCAGAGATACCTCTCCGTCATACAGAGTGACAAATCCCAGTCTTGATTCGTGCCAACCCAACAGACACTTTCAGAGATACATGTAGTGCACCTTTATAGCCACCCAGTTACATTGCGATGTTTGGTACACCCAAAGCATTCCTACGGTATCCGGGAGTTGCACAATCTCATGGTCTAAGGAAATGATAGTTGACATTAAAAAATCTCTTAGCAAACGAACTACACGATCTTGTGCTATGCTTAGGATTGGGTCTTGTCCATCACATCATTCTCCTAATGATGTGATCCCGTTATCAACGACATCCAATGTCCATGGTCAGGAAACCACAACCATCTATTGATCAACGAGCTAGTCAACTAGAGGCTTACTAGGGGCATATTACGGTCTATGTATTGTTTTAGAACATAGACGTCAGGGACGTCCGGCTTTAAATTAATAAAGCCCACAACATAGGCAGCGTGCATAACATAACAAACCAACATTCGGAACCATAAACTAGTCTCGCAGGGTCTAAGATCACAGCAACTTAAGAAAACGGCGGCGAGATAAAGTGCAATACAAGGCACACCCGGCCTAGCAAACGAGCACGCAGGCTCGGAGGAAACTCGACCAAAAGGGGGTGCACATCCCTATGATGCAGCAGACGCGGGCGACGGAGCTCGAGACGCCGAGTAGACGATGCGAAGGCGTACAAGAGCTTGGTGATGGAGATCGGAGTCCCGTTGTCTTCCCAGTGGGGCCCATTGCTGCAAGAACACGATGCATTTGAAGATAACGTCAGCAGGGTGGGAGGGAAACACTCCCTCAATAGTAAACTTGTTACGAGTATGCCATAGAGCCCATAACATGGCCGCCGCACATGTGCACATGACCCAGAGCGAAGGGCCATGGACCAAGGACAGAGAGGAGACCAACTCGGAGCGGGAGCG